AATCGTACTAGGGCTCATTCGAGCTACTCGTAGTCGCCATACTGCGAATCGTATTATTACTCATCCGAGTTACTCGTAGTCGCAATACTGCGATTCATAGTGCTAGTTAGAAACTAGACTCATGAATACTTACAAATCAAATCCACAACTGATCGACCAAACACAATAAACAAACGTGCTATAAACCTGTAAAAACAATCAAATTATCTGTCCCATGAAAAAATAATGACTTGCTTGTTAAGAGAATAGTATGATTTGTTCCTTTGGGTACGTAAGATGTCAATGAAATGTTATAATTAAATGAATGTTCGAAATACAATCTTATTTATGTGAGTGTGGTTCTTTTTTTTTTCGTTATCAACTCTGCCAATTTATGAATGAGTATATCTCTTTCTTTCACAATTGAAGGGAACATGCACTATTTTTTTTTTGAGAGCCGATTAACCAGTCAAGAATTAAATAATATAATCATCCTTGAAACAGGTTCGTGCATCATTTAGTGAGTGATTGTTCGCGTATATTGTAGGGTCGTGATGAAAATTTGTTTATATTAAAATCTGTTTTAAGGCTATTGGTGTGGCTGGATACTTATCGCATAACTACAATGAAAAAGTGGTTATCATGTACTTCAGACAATATTCAGGACTTTGCTGTCAGTAATACGCCACCTTTTTACATTTCCATCAGTCAATAATTATCGAGACTATATACGTTAGTCTCTTGAACAGATAAAATGATAGTGAAAAGTGAGGAGATACGACTGTTCATGAAACTACTTGTAATCTTTTTGAAAGAGATTATGATACTTTGCGGAACGACATGATTTTGAAAATTTTTTTAAACACATATTTTCATATAATAAGAGATGTTTTTTCAAGTTTAATGAATGATATTCAAAATCGTATATTAATTGATATAAAAATATTTAAAACCCTTCTGGTTAAACAAGCGATTCTTGTAGTTGTCACATGCAAAACAAGTCTCATTGATCATTATCTGGTGAACAAAATTATATTTATCGATAATCTTTTTTTTCCTTGAAAACAGTCAAAATCAACTGAAAGTAATGAAAATATGATGCAGTAAAATCAATGCGGTCAGTACGAAGAGATTATGTTTGGCTTATTCATCTTCAGCAATATCAATTCATTTAATGTGAAACAATAATTTTGAATTGTTCGAATGTGATCATAGAGAATTACAATAAATTAAATTTTTGAATTTCTTTGTTCTTTCAAGCTTTTTTTTTCTTTTTTACATACAATACAATTTACCCATACAAATTGATGCAATAATGCTATTACTAAATATTCAAATATTGTGTATTTTATACAATGACATTTCTGAGCATTCACTCTTATTACTCAGTAGTAGATTGTCTCTCAAACTCTATTTCAACATGATTATTGTTTTTAGCAAAAAAGAATACGTACCGAAGACTAATAGAGCTGGAATTAATTACTCAAGTTTAGCAATGAGCAATCAGTTTGATGTTTATGACAAATGATTGATTGTGTTGAAAAAACAATTCTTCTATGTGACTAGACAAAAAATTATGAACACTTTTTCTTTTACTATATAGAATTATTATATAGTTTTTATATGGTTTTTACGTAGAACTCATTTTCCATCGACCAGCTTCTCTTTATCTAATTTACTTATGATTTACATGTTTATATAATTTGATAAGAAACGAAACAACGTCCTGTATTTTTTTTTCTCTACATAATAAAAAAAAGTATTAATAGCAGTCTGATTTTTATTCTATACAATACTAGAAGAACAATACATTACAAGAATCATTTCTTTAACGCACATTTAAATCATATATTCGATACAAAGTGTATCTCAATCATGGCTTTTCTTTTTCCACCTCGTTTTCAAGCTGAAATAAGCGACTATAGTGGCTCATATAATAATGAAAATAGAAATGAAAGTTTGGCAAAACATGCCTTTCAAATTTTGGATTGGCTGTTCTTCAGTCCAGCAATTATGCTAAATCGTTGGGTTATTAATATTGTTCTTGCCATTTTTATTACGTTGTTATTCCTGTTCATCGTTCAATATTATATGTTTCGGCATTATCATGTGCCCAATGAACTGAGCAAACGTTTTTTCGAAGAAGATCTTAACGTCGTCTCAATTTCTACGACTGACAACGAGAAAGCTGCACCATCGAAATTTTAACACCTAATCAATTCTCAAAATGGTTGAATGAACAAAAAATAGCTTAGTCATATAATTAGTTCTTATTTTTTGTAACTCAGCAAGCATGAATTAGCTGTATCTTGAATCGTTTTCGCTTATCCGTTATATTTAATCTCGCTTTGAGTTTTTTTATGATAATCATATAAATTCATTCTAATATTCAATATATTCATAGTATGTTTTTTTCGAAATATGTGAAGCTTATTCAATAAATTCGAACTTAGAAACTTCACCCATTCGCATATTTAATTGTACAAGTCCATTGTTCACATACTCAATAGAAATAATCTGTATAATATAAAATTCTCATACTTAAATAGAAATCCAAGTAAACTGCACTTCTTTTCTAATGCATATATTGGATTTTATTAGGTTTCATTATTTGTGAATTAATACGTTCACATTGGAACATCAACAAGAAATACCTCACGTTCCAGAGTATGTGGGGCTAAATTTAAGTATCATTCAACACAGATATAATCCTAAGACATATCCATAATCGCTGATATTTTCTATCTTCTGAACATCATCTTACATTTATGCAAGTATTTGAGCAGTCAAAACAAGATTGTCAGTACCTAGAAACTCAATATAACAATTTTTATCTCTTAGCAAGAGCGATTTATCGCTCTATGAATCGATTTGAAAGAAATCAAAATTTTTTTTTAAACAGAAATGAAGTCAACTTAATCATGTATGAATATTTTTTTTCCTAGATCAAAATTTTTATCTCTTAGCAAGAACGATTTATCGCTCTCTAAATCGATTTGAAAGAAATCAAAATTTTTTTTTTAACAGAAATGAAATCAACTTAATCATGTATGAATTTTTTTTCCTAAATCAAAAAAATTTTTATCTCTTAGCAAGAGTGATTTATCGCTCTCTAAATCGCTTTGAAAGAAATGAATTTTTTTAAACAGAAATGAAATCAATTTAATCATGTATGAATATTATTATTTTTTTCTAAATAAGTCATTTCAAACTATGAATTAGTAATATTGTTTGTATTCGATTATATAAACATTCTATGATTCGAACACTATTGTTATCATAACAGAGATAACACAATTGAATACAATGGATTTTTTTAAAATAATTTTTATTTATTGAATAAAATAGTTTTACTGACTCGGGGTCGTTAAAAAAATTCATTTGTTAAATATAGAATATAGCTCAATTTTTCGTGATGTAAAATCAACTGAATACGTTAAAAAATGACTGCTATTTCAAAAACAATTCAAACGATTTAAAGCAGCTAAAATAACGTAGAGAAAAATAATGCGATCAAACCTTTCTAAGCAAGAAAAATTCCTCTTCTTCTGTTGTATAACACTTAGAAATATCCATCTTCACACTTTTGTTTCTCTCAAATGTATACACTTTTTTTTTCATTTTATTATCATTTTTGATCATCATATATACAATATTTGTTAGCGCATTGCAATAAAACACTTTATTCTTTTATATAAAATTCTCTTCGTACGGTACTATGTGTCATTTTTCATACAATAACTTATCTTATCTCACACTCACATTCATCTGTCTGTTAATATTAGAACTTGAATTAGAATATGTACATTCAACTAACTTATTGTGTCCTTGAGTCAACACGTAAAACTTGGTTATCAGTAAAGTACATGCAGACATATCGTATAACTAAAATACTCGAACATGTAACAATCTTGACTTTTTAGTTTCATCACGTAGTTTCAACTCAATTTTAGATTAAACGGTAACTATTCGTTTCCAAATCAATCATTGCACTTATTGAAAAATCAATCGTAAATTCACATTAGATCGGCGAGAATAAACCTAATCTCTCAATTGTTACCAACTGGTATCACAATAATTAAAATTAAAGAAAGAATTGGTATAAATTTCATGAGTATCATAATAGAGAGCAGAATCCATTACTGTCCGTACTAGAACAAAAAAATCAAACATTTATTTCTTGAAAATACTACTGATCAGCATTTTTCTTCTTTGATTAATTTAAAAATGATTATTCACTAATACTTTAATGTTGCGTTGCTACATAAGAAAACTTTCGATGAATTTCTACTTGAAAAACACTTTCTATCTTTTTTTACTTGATTTAAGAGTAACAGTTTGAAAGTTTTATCATTACCTGATATTCCCGACTTCACGTTGAGTAGAATTGATATTAGTTTATACTTACGACTCAAGCCACTTTTGAAAGTATATTAATTGTATTTCCTTTTTCATAGCTTCCGATCTTCATTTATCATGGGCTCGTTCTAGTCAACATTTGTCAAACAATCTGCCAATATATCAGGAAATAATAATAATGTATGGTTTATCAATGATGTGAATTCCAACATCTCATCAATACTTGACCGCAAAATCGATAATAATCATTTTGGCAGTCATGTTTCTTTATCTACGTTGTTGCCACCAACAGATTCTATCTGAGACATATTTTAACGACTATCTACTGAGCAACTCTATTGCATCTTTAAATTTCAATGACAAATCTTTGTCGGGGAACATTCCTTGTTCTGCTGGTGGATATCTAGTTTAAAATTTGTGCATTTCCTGAATCATCTGATGTTTCACAAAAAAAAACATTCATCATATAATTCGAGTGTCTGTGCATGCATGTGAATAATAGATTAATAGTCATTTCATTACAAATACATTTCATTTTTTTTTTAATAAAATAGCACAATGATGTTTCATCATCATGAGTGAACTTATCTATTTTTTTATCTGCTACGAAAATTCTACGCTTGCACAAGAAAAAACGATCACGTCATCATTAGTTATTGTCAAGGCTGTTTTTTCATACTTGAAAAAAAAAGATTTGTTCTCTCTCTCTCTCTCTCTCTCTCTCTCTCTCTCTGCTTGTGCAGTATAAAAGAGAATGAATATCAGTTTTTCTTTCATACTCATAAAAAACTATTATAGTGAAATATTCATATTACTACTTTCAATTTTTTTGTGAAGCATGGCGATCGTAGTTGGTAATTCAAAAACAGAATATGCAATGAATATCCATGGTGAGGGTAAAGATGTTAAAATGAATATTGGTGATACAGCTATAAAAGCGTCAACTGATACTGCTGCTCAGGAAGTAATCAATAAGGTTGGCAAAACTGCTGGTAAAATCATCGAAAGTGGTGGCGATGTCATTACTGCCCCAGCACTTTGGTTGAAAGATATGCAAAAAAATTGGCTTACGTACATGATCCTTGCAGCAATTATTCTCGTATGCATTGTATTCTTGTATTGTACGGTTAGCTATTATATTAGTCGGAAGAAAAATCACTGGGCATCAACCAATCTTGTCGAGCTTGCTAAAGTTATCAGCAACAAAGGTGCTGCTTTACAACTACCACTAGCATTATCAGCGCCAAATGTATAGTCAGAGGCAAAAGTTTAAGCGATCTGCATTTGTCCTTTCTCTTGTTCTGAGTCTATCGAAGTCCAAGTAAGTCGAACCCATTTCGTTCACCTATCATCTTGTGCAGTTTTCGACGCTCTTTCCAATGGTGGGTGAATTACGGAGATTTGAGTTAATGGGACAGAGTTATTCCCGTTTTCGGTGTTTTTCGGGTCTCTAAGTATAATGCAAATAACTCCGCCGTCTTAAGTCGAAAGTCCGATGTTTTTTCACCAGTTGATAGCCCTTGAAATTCTGCATTGACCTATGTGACTTTCGTCCCACTATACCAAAACCTATAGGTCGAGAAATTCGTACCACCAAAGCGGGTCATAACTCAGTTTTCACACAAAAACAAGTTATACTCCGCTAAAAACTCTATCGAAATCCAAACACCTATCCAATGATGATCTATGCGCTTTGAAACACCGGCTACAAGATGTGCTAAGTGCGAGGGTTGTACTTTACTTCCTGCTTTTTTACGGAGCATAACTTGTTTTTATGTGAAAACTGAGTTATGACCCGCTTTGGTGGTACGAATTTCTTGACCTATAGGTTTTGGCATCGTGGGACGAAAGTCACATAGGTCAATGCAGAATTTCAAGGGCTATCAACTGGTGAAAAAACATCGGACTTTCGACTTAAGACGGCGGAGTTATTTGCATTATACTTAGAGACCCGAAAAACACCGAAAACGGGAATAACTCTGTCCCATTAACTCAAATCTCCGTAATTCACCCACCATTGGAAAGAGCGTCGAAAACTGCACAAGATGATAGGTGAACGAAATGGGTTCGACTTACTTGGACTTCGATAGACTCAGAACAAGAGAAAGGACAAATGCAGATCGCTTAAACTTTTGCCTCTGACTATAACATCGGTTGCAGCAAACTCAATGAATGGGTTGGCAGTTTAAAATGGAAAATCGAAATGTTAATAAACACTGCTTCACATTTTTGTAGAATCGTAAGTCTAGTATTTTAATCTACACCTCGAGATAGTTTTTGCGCATTTCATTGTTTTAATAATCATTGAATTTAGCTCTATTTTTTATTCATATCGTTATTCAATTGCATTTTAATATTAATTTTTTCAATCTTTTTAATAAATGCATGCTAATTAAAAGTGAATTTTATATTTTCACATCTGCATTGGAAAATATTGCGGTTATTGCCCACTTCCGCTTCTAACTCGTATTTGTCCTCAATTCTCGGTTTCTTTTTTACTAAATGTGTCATCACCAAACTTGCTCGATACGATAACGATACATATGAATTTCGTAGAATACGAGTTATTAGAACACTACAAAATAATTTCTAGGAAAGGAAGATATTGTCGTAGTTTTTATGGGACTGAAAACTACTAAACCAATATTCAAAAGGCATTTAATCTTTCTCAGTTTATATAAAAATAGTATCAAAACGCCTTTTTATTATCGTATAGAACAAATACCTACTTTCAAGACTATTTTCATTGTCCTGAAATCGATGTTCATTATGATAATGTTTTTATTTCGAATTTATCTTGAAAAATCGACGGTTATAGATGAAACAACTAAGTGTTCCGCTAGAGTAGATCGAACTATTTTTTTCTTTCATAATAACGTTAGATCCTTCGAATACGAAGACTTTTTTTGGTCAGAGAATTAACTTTGTTTTTCAAGTGTAACAAATTGCAATGACATCAACATCAATATCAATATTTCTATCGAAAGTTTCTTGTATAGATAGACTTTCGCTGAAGGATATCTTTCATAATCATCATTCAATTGTGACATTAGACTGAAATTATCTTATTTGACTCGTTTCATGAAAAGTGAAAACATATAAAAAATGCAAAACTTAATTTGTTCTATCAACTGATGGTAAATTATATGTAAATCAATCGGAAAAAAATTTTCGAATATATGGGAAACGTCAGATCGTCTTAGTAAAAAGAAGAAAATTTTACATATGGACTTGGTTTTATTGTACAATTACACTTGATTCAAAAAAAAGATGAACAAGACTATATTCGTTAAATAAAGCACACCATTTTCTGCAGAATTTAAAAATCTATCGTTTAATATAAAAAAAGCTGAATACAGTGTTTTTTTAGAACAATCCTAGAAAAAAAAACTCATTTCAAAAGATCGTGCAAAAAATCTTGTCTAGTATTGTATATTCGAAAGCAGCGAAAAATTCTGATCCTAACCAGCTGTCTTAAAATAGCCGGAAAATGAGTGAATACTTTGTGCAACACGTTATGATTCAAATTTGACAGAAAATAGTAAAATTGCAAAATGTCAAAAGTTTTAAACTTTGAAACGAAAAGCTTTTCATATGAACGAAAAATTATGATAGAACATCGAATGCACAATACAACAGTATAGGGAAGAACGAAATCTGTAGAACGTACTTTACTGTTGAAGATTTAAGAAATGAATATTTTCAACATGTTTTATTACTTATTCGAAGAAAACTACCGGTGTAACATTCTATATAATATGCCTGAATTCGCGTAAGAAAATTACGTCATCTATCGATAGCCTTTACTCGTACATTCAAATTTACCAGATTCGTTTATCGACTTATTATTATTGAATTGTTTGTTCGTTAGCTTCTTTTCTTTTCGAATATAAATTATTTTGTTGTTTTATTTAACTTATTATATATGTATATATAGATGGATATTAATGAAGACATACAAGAATTAGAAGAAGAAGAAGAAGAAAATATATCTCCAATAATTCAAATATTTGAATGTCTTACATTTGAACGAGGTCATCAAATACATGATCAAGTAACATCCATGATTGATTTATTTTCATTATCAAATGTAAATTTTGTTTTTGATTCTTTGCAAAAAATATCTCTTGAACTAATTTAATTCTTCGTTTTTTTTCGTTTTATGTTTTAAGGTAACATTAGATATGTTAGATACATTAATTCAATGTGTTAAAATTGTTTTTATTCATCAACATACAAATAAAAATATGCAAATATTAGATTTTTTAATTACATTAACATATGTTACACATATTAATTACAAAAATAATAAAAATTTATCACTTATTTTTGATGCTCTTATTGATATATATTTACTCAGGTAAATAAAACCAATAAGATCAATTAAAATTTTAGTTCTTTTTTTTTGGAATTTTAGACAATGGTAGCCGTTGATAGTCAAATTCGTTATACAACATTTTATATTTTAAATAAACTTCAATCATTTATTGATCTATCTCGATCACCTAATATACCTGATCAATTTGAACAATATTTATTAGAATTACTTAATAATGAAACAACATTTCTTGTTCTTGACGAAATTACACTATTAGCTGCTAAATTTCAATATAAAAATCATCAATTTATTGATGGTTTGTAATTTTTTATTAAAAGAAAAACATGAATCTTTTCTTATTTTATAGCTTTTCTTTGTAGAATCAATTCACCAAAATGGTTTTCATATTTAGATCGACGACGTCAAATTGTATCATTACTTGAATATTCATCTTCTTCTTTGAATTTTCTTCTTTCAACAATTAAAATTGATAATGATTTGTCACAGTTAGCTTTCGAAAGTTTATTAGCTGATGAACGAGGTTTTACATTTGATAAATTAGATTTTCATGGTCGATTAATAATATTTCAAATTGCTAGTAAATCTCGTGATTTATCACATCTTATTTTTACTCAATGGATTAGTCCCAGTAGATATGAACTTGTTGATATTCTTCGATTATGTAAAATATCAAATTTAAATGAAAATAAGAAAAATAATAATAGTTTACATATTGAAACATGTTTACGATATTTTCTTGATGATAATAATATTCGTCGAATTATTATTAATAATACAAAAAATAGTCCTTGGTACAAACAAGTAAGTTTAAATATATAATGAAAAAATCATCATAAATCAATTTTATTTTAATTTAATTCACTATTAACTCGCACGAGAAGTCTTCTGATTGATTAAACAAATGCTGAGTCGAAACTATAATGCTTCGTGTAGATCGTAATGACTTGCCAATATACTGGAAAGAGTTCGGACTCTTATCTTATTGCTGTCAAGATACTGCATTGTTATGATATTTTTCCAATGAATGCTTTGATATCCCCTCAGGAACACAAGAAAAACTTATTTTCGAATTTCGACTTGAAACTTTGCATAGAGACAGATCTTAACGAGAATAAATTTTTTTTTGTAAAGGTTTCAGATCTTATCTTTGTTCATATAAGTGTCGAAATAAGACATGATGTATCTAGTAAACGCCGATTTTAAATGTCTACGGTTTATTATGACTTTTCTCATAATTCTATCGGTTTATATCTGTAACCAGTAGTAATAGTGATGAATAATATCTGATTGAGATTGACTAGAAAAGTTGAAAAAATAATATCAGATGATTATATTTTGAAATTGAATAAAAAAAAAAGAAGAACAACTACAAAATATTGGAAATGTTTCATAAACAATATGATTTTTTTATTTGCTATTTCGATTTTGCCAAAATTTTTGATGATTTTCATCAGAAAAAGTGAGAAATCTTTTTCGCTTTGTCTCTGTTCATACATTTCTGATCGCGCATCCTAAAATTCTCGAAAAATCTGCGTTGCTCGATTTTTTTTGGATTCAGCTTTTTTATTATGTAAAAAAAATACTATTATAAATTGATGATCATTTTTTGAGAGTTTTTCGAAATATTGAATTCGTCATTTTTTTTCTCCACAATAAAAAAAAATAATTTTATTAGGCACTACAGTCTGGCCTACTCTTTCAAATTAAAAAGAAATTAAATTTATAGAATGAGAGATTTTAAATTGTCAAATGAGCTATTTTTGACCCTTGTTTATTGAATGTCTCCCGAAGATCTTATGATATAGGACTAAATATTTTAGTGTAGTCTCTCCATTATAGTTCTAAGAAATCCTGAAAATTTCATGCGATTTGAATTCACCTGGACCAATATCAATTATCGACGAGTTTTAATTTTCAGCAAAAAAAAATGTGAATCGCTTGCTCTTGCATTAGAAATCGGTTTCTGATAGGACAGTATTATTCAATCTTCTCTGCAAATAAAAAAAGAAATTAGATAAACTGTTCCTATATGGTTTTGTATAAAACTTAATAAGAAGTCTTTCAAAAATAAATACGTGTTTCTACAACAACAAAACGTAAGCGAGATAAATATGAATGAAGTCATTCTTGAGAGTGTACCTGTTATGTATATGAATTAAATTTTGGAAAAAGATTTTCTTGAATATTTTTGTATTAAAGAGAAAAATTTTATTTTTTTTTTAGAGGTGGTCTTTTACTTTCAAATGTATCAAATTATGTTGAACATTTATTTATATAGCGTATTTTATGTCAATTAATGAATGAAGAAGATGATGATACAAATATTCATCTTGATTTTCATGAATTTATTTCATATTTTTATCGTTCAATTAAATTATCTGTTAATAAAAATTTATCTTCAATAGAAGAATTTATTATTTGTCAATATGCATCAATACTTTCAACATTTGATATGCTTGATATATATCGTCGTAAATGTATTGAAGCTATAGGTCGTTGTATACTTGTACATTTTGGACAATATGAAATAATAATTGAACGAGCATTTCAACTTATTCATCGTATCCATCCATCAATAGATACAATTAATGAACGATATCAATTAATAACATATACATTAAATGATATTTATTATTCAACGTTGTCAAAATGAATAATTTGAAGAATTAACATTTATACAATGTATGATTATAGCTAAAGTATTTATTGAACAAGAAAAAGAACTTGAATTAAATAATACAAATTTAAAACAATTACTTGATTCATTAGTAGATGAAATTGAAAAATATAAAAATTAAATTAAATTAAATTAATTTTTGTTTTTTCTATTTAGATTAAATCAGGTTTGTCACATAAAAATATTGATATTCAATCTCAAACTTTACCAACATTACGATCTCTTACGTGCCATTCTCGACAAGCAACAATTGAATATACTAAACAAAATTTTCATATAACCGTATGTTGCCTTTCATAATAGTTAAAAATCAATTCTTATAATCGGTATATGTGCTCTTCGCCGAAACATACTTCGTCGAAAGTAATTTTTAGCCACGGAGGATGCTCCAAAGGTGAGGGTGAGGACAAAATGAGTTGACCTCTTCATGCTGAACAAGCCTATATAAGAATTAGAGGGCTCGCAACAGTCTAAAGCGTCCTACGAGTCTTTCGACGAAATGCTTTTCGGCGAAGAGCGTTACAACCACTTTATTAAACCAGTGAACAAAACGTGATATTATTTATGTTTAACAGCATTGCTTCTTTATTCCTTACTCGAATATTTCAGATTTTTGTTGTTCTTCACGCTAAAAAAATATGCTAAGAATGATAAGTTTTAATTTTCTTTTCGCTTCTCTTGAAATATATTTTTCATAAAAACTTCAAAGCTTTCTTCTTACGGTCTACAATCGATAAGGCTAAAAATTTTTCTGCTGCATCTCCAAATAAATTGAGCTTTGTCTTTTTCTTGTCGTTGAAAAATTTCATATTGACGAATTATAGAAAATCTTACAAAAATTGTAACACATCAGAAAACATGTTTTTTTTTCACAGAGCTTCGAATAATGTGGTTCTCCTGAGCTTACAATTCAAGATTTTTTGATGATTAAAATAGTATGCATAGATGTTACGGAGAAAATTTCTGTGTAGTCGGCTGTAGTGGCATGAAGAAAAGCGTAGGGAAAAACTTTAGGCTAGTTATAGTCATCGAATCCTTCAGCAGAACTTTTGTTATACTCAATGAGATCTGCTTGCATTGAAAGTTTCAGAATTTTTAGTCAAGATGATCTTGAGAGCTTTCAGAAATGGAGAGCACAATGTGCACTCAAACGAACTGTAGATGAAAAAACGAAGATTACGCTTTCATCAATTCAAATAGTAATCAATATACTTTGAGACATACTCTATCTAATGGTGTAAGAGTTTTCCTTACGAATTTTAAGTTGAGTTAACTAATCGGAATTCAAAACTTAGCTTGGAAATACTGGTATCAATGAGGAAATCAATTTTCGATAAAATTAAACCATCTGGCAGATACGCTCAGTAGATACTCTGAATTTGCATATCATTTGACATCGATCATCAAACAAATATTTAAACATGAATGTATAATTTATGAAAAAAGAAATAAAAGCTTTTTCTAAATCAACTTTCGGAATAGCTAAGTTCACTAAAACGATTGCGTATCCCTTAGCGTCAATTTCAATCTGCTCAAACTATGGCCGAATGTTTTATTTTATATTCTCTGTCACTACAGTTAGCATAAACGCTCCTGATCACCATACAACAGATTTTTCCACTAAACTCCTTTTTTTCAGACTCCACACTATTTCTATTGAAAATCAATGCTATATTCGGAATCAATACGCAAAACTATACTCGATGACGTATGGTACAAGACATTCTCTCGAAAAATCTTCTTCCCAAAAATATTCTATTGTCTTAAAAATGATTTCCAGAGTGATATGCAACCATTTCTGAACAAATGAAAGTCATTTTTAAGAACGAAAGTTATATGTCTGTCTGCCATGCAAAAATGTATACTGTACAGTAGAATTCGTCGGGTCCAAAGTTTTCGGACCCGGGCCCTGGCGAATCGTACTTTGATACTCTCAACAAAATTTTCTATTCGAAGTTGGATAGTCCTTCCGACTATACGAGATTCTTAGTATAGGATTTTAAGAGGATCATAATTTTGAAAAAAAAATTGATTTTAGGATAAAATCGAAAATATCTCTTTAAAATGTCAATCAATATCAACTTTTATTGATGTTCTTCTTGTTCATGGTCCTGATATTTTAACAAATATAAATTTATTAAATTTAACATCTTCTCAATTTACAACACAATATTTTATAAATCTTTTGGATCAACAAGTAATCAATATTTCAGTTAATTTGAATTTTTCAAAACTTTTTTTTTGTAGAATATTGAAATAAAAACTACTATTGCATTTGGTCTTATTAAATTATTTCTTAGTTCTCGTCTTGAACCAAATATTGCTTTACTTGAAATTATACTTGATTATCGTTTTTCAAATGGTTATCGATCTATTAATCAATATCAACGAGATGATATAACTTCTTTCTTCTATTTTTTTATTCATTCATCAATGTTCGTTAAATTTCTAAATCATTCTTATATTTTCTATTTTTTATTTGTTTTTTTAAATTTTAGTTCAAATGTTTTACTTATTGAAGAATTAACATTTGATCTTGTTTCTCGTTATCTACCTTTTGTATCGGATATAATACAATGGCTTATAAATCAATCTTAGTTGAATCAATGTGTTATTTTTGTAGTGTGTTACTTTCTTTACCAACTTTACCAATTGATAAATCAAATGAAGAACATTCTCATTATCATCTTGCAATAAATCTTCTTGAATCAATTCATAATTCAACTAATAATCATACATCATTTATTATAAAATCTTATTTAAATACAATAAAACATCTTCAATTTCAATATATGAAAAAAGAACAATTACAAATTATTCTAGATTCAATTATTCGACTTCGACAAGTTTGATGATTTTCTTAATTATTTCTTTTTGATAAAAACCTATTTGGTTTTTTTTTCTTTTAGTATCCAAATTTACCATTAATTATATCAAATTCTATAAAAAATATTGAAGAACAAATACAATCATGTTTAAAATTAATTAAGAAATTAGTTAGTATAATCTATTATCATTGTTTACAAATCATAAGAAAATTTTACCAAATGATAAATGACTTTTGAGATGATTCTTATCTGGTGTCCAGTATAAAAAAAAATAAAAGTTTTCTTCAGTCGCAATCATGAAGATTTGAAAAGAATTTTCAGTATTGATATTTGAGGATAGGAAATACTAAAAACTCTGATGTTATGAACACGAATCCTTTTAAACTTTCACTTGCTTCAATAAGATCTATTTAATGAGATAAGATTCATCTTCAAATCGATTTATCACTTAACGAAGTTTGTTCGTTAATCTGGATAACACATACTCCAGATCTCAAAATTGAGCCACTTTTTGATAGGCTAATCCGACCGACTTAGAATGGCAGTATGAAAAATATATTTCTTTTACAAAAAGGATTTCTACACAATGGAACTTCACAATCACTGCAGTCATTTTTGAGAATATTGTAAAAAATCTTTTATCATAGGGTAATAAGTTGAACCAGGTCGGACTATTTTAATGCTTGAAAAAATAGCATCAGAGATATAAGTCGAATTAGTTATTTAACAGACAGACAGAAACTCGAACTTCTTAAAGGCTATGATTTATTAATATAAGCTTTGATCAGTAAAATGTCTGCTGATCAATTTCAAACAGTCAGATTTCATCTTTTTTTTTTATCAATTAATATAATAGTTTTATCGGTTGAAACTTTCTTAAAGATCGATTCAGAAGGATTAACATCAAATGAAATCTATCTTCGCAATTGAAAAATCAGATGTTTTTCTGTTTTCTTACATGAGAAATCTTTCTTGAAAAAAGAAATAAAAGTTCGAGTCGTGCGACTCGTTTCGAGCCTTTGACATACACTGATAATCGGATTCTGAGTAGATAGTTCAAGATGATCCCAGTCTCGTAACCAAGACCAACATTTTTTCATTGAGAACAATACCTCTTATGATAGTATGAAACTTGCATCCAATGTCATATTGTCACGACTGATGTGTTCTGAATAGATATGGGCCATATGGTTCGAATCCCAGCATAATAAATGACTAGTGTTGAGCATCCAACGATGATCGATCATTTGATACTACTAAATATTCGTAGCATACAGATGTTCGATTATCAATGGCACTTAAAAGTAAATATATAGTTTAGTCTGTATAACTTGCGGTTGAATCCATAAAATGGAGATCTACAACTTCAGATACAAAAACTGGATTAGTTGTTTTGGATCTGCTGTTTCAATCCGAACAAAAGTTTTATTAGCAGGAAGCTTAATTAATTCTCTGCAACAGCAACTCTTTTAATCATAGTTCTAAATAGTAGGTGGACCATAGCGAATGGTAACTTTTTGCATGTCATCTTTTCATTTAATTACAAAATTAAAATATATCACAAGCTACACTGACAAAGGCTCTATAATTTACAAAAAAAAGTATACTTTATATATGTGCATCTTTTATTTCAAAAAAAAAGATGAAATTCTGTTCGATCAATTTTCGACACTGCGCACCGGATCATTCTTTAGTACACAATGAATTAATTTTGTTATTTCAACGATTAAACAATCATACTTTTCAACTTTATCCTATTGTGTACTATTGGGAATGGTGTTCCATATATAATAATCCAAAACTTTGAGATTAGAATTATTTATTAATCATCTGTGCTTGTCTATGAAATACTCTGCGTATCATATTAACGTTTCCTTTTGTATTATTAATAGATGAAATTATCGACCGGCAACTTGTTCAAAGCATCGAAAATTTGTGTAATAGAATTTTGTTGTTTTCATAGAACAAAAGTACATATATATAAAATAAGCTTTTCTTTGTAAATTGTAGAGATTTTTTCAGTACATCTTATGATATATTTTGTTTTGTAATAAAATGAAAAGATGACGCGCAAAAATTGACTAATCATTATCACTTACCCATCATTAATTTTATTCTTTTTCTAGACAAATGATAACAATGATGATAAACGATCTTGTTCACCTTCACCACCATCTCTAAGAAATTCTAAACGTATTTCTTCAACATTTAAACCGTCTATAATTTCATCACCAAATGTACTTTATGATCGAACTAATCAAATAATTATTAACAATGATAATCGATTATTATCAAAAGGTATTAAAAGAAAATTAAATACAAATCGTTATATGACACTTGATTTTGAAAATGACACAGATGATTTTTTCTAGTCCTAGATTTCTTTATAGAATTTTATCCAAGTATTTTTGTATTTATTTATTTTATCATAACATTCTTTTGAACTTATTGTAATTAAATATAAATAGATTAAAAATAAGGTAATAAAAGAAAACATATGTGAATACATGTTTTATTCTGAGATGTGCATTATATCGAAAAAAAAATAATGATGACGTTTGGCAATCTCTATTATTATTATGAATTACTTTCAAAAAAAAAGAAAATAGATTAGTGAAGCTTTTCAAATAGATTTCTGTCCGTATTCTTTCGTATTGTTTTAAACTTCTTTTGAAAAAAAGAAATTCATCTCCGTACCCTACTGTAAAAATAACAAGAGAGAAATAATGATTGTTGTTATTATTGTTTTTTTCTTTATATTGAAATACAATGAACGGAATTCTTTTATTGATTTAAGTTTAAGACGCGTACTGTATTACATATAAACAAGCAAGAATATTATGGAAAAAAGAATAGACACAGTACTGATGAATATCTATCGAAATTTTCAACATATGAATTTTCTGATTGACTTTCATTTGAATTATTTGACATAGTTTATATTAAAAAACTTAGATAATTTAAATCAATCAATATGATCATTATTTCAAAATTTTAGTTAAAAAATAATAAACTATTCTCGTTAAGACTTATCTCTATGTAAAGTTTCAAATGAGAAATTCGAAAATTAGTTTTTCTGATATTCCTAAGAGGATCACATTATTGACTTTCAAAAGCTATAAAAGTGCATACCTCTGCAGTAATAAGCTAAGAATACAAACTCTTTTCAAGATGTATATAGAGCTCATCTGAATCTACATAATGCATATAGTTCCCATAGACAAGCAATTTATCAGTTAGAGGACTTTCTTCGTCAGACAATGGAGAAATCAGACCGTTGCGAGCAATCTATTGAAAGGCAATAGTGCATTAAAGCGATCTCTTTTTATATAAAGATTTTTTTTTATTCAAATACAGAAAAATTCTTAAAAGTCCATTTTCTTTATTATATTTCAAACTAAAATTAAAATTAAAGATAAGAAATTACATTATTAGACAAACAATCTGTAAAATTTCTCATTTCAAATTTACATATTAGCAAGTACACATATTTCATGATTACTTAATTGTCGATTGTAAATTCGAAATTCATCAATAGAACCTAAAAAAGATCCTGATGAAATAGATATAGAACCACTTAGACAACTCAGCGGTGCTGATGATCCCAATGGACTCTGATTGCCTAATGTAATATACAATGGAACATTACTATTATATAAATAAAGAGATGCAGCGTATGATGATGAAGTACTAAATTGTCCATTAATAAAAAGACGTACACCATTTGTAGAACTATATACAACAGCTATATGAGTCCATGTATATGCTGGTATCACAGGACCTTGAGCACTACTAACACTTGGAGTTGTTGTCATCCATTGACATATTAAATATCCAGTACTTGTAAAAACAAGAAGATCATAACAAGTTCCATTAGCATTGGAATTCGTAGATAAATGTACTAATGTACCACCACTTGTAGTAGAATTTGGATTAACCCAAAGTGAAAATGAAAATGATTGCTCATTGCCACGCATTCTTGGAAAACATTGTGATTCAAAATAACTTGTACTTGATGTAAAAGAGATAGCTTGATTAACACGACCTGATGATATTATTGTCGTACTATATGCATAACCATTACAAAGATTAACACTATAATCATTATATGTTCCAGTTGTATCAAATGGATAATATACTATTAATGATGCATCATTAGAAATTTGACAAGAACTTCGAGCAACACCGGCTGTTATTGTAAAATGATCTATCCGTCTATAGAAGAAGGAAAAAAAAGAAACAGATTTAATATTTTTTTCATTCTATGATTATTGAAAATCATTTTACATTAATAAAGAATAAATCATTGAAGAAAATAATTGATATTTCTTACCCTTGAAAATATGCAGTTCCATAAGCCAATGATGAAGTTCTTCCAATTATTGTTGAACTTAATGAAACGCCTTAATAAGAATTAACAGTGCCATGTGATAAAGCATCAATTTGACCATCAACATAGATTTGTTGTTGATATAGAGTGGCATCATAAACAACTGTTACATCAGTCCATTCATTCGAAGTAACTAAAGTTGAACCAGTCAATGTAATATTATTAGAATTCATAGAATCAAATGAAAGTGACTAAATATACCAAAATCAGTTGACGTATTGATAGTTCCTGGACGAAGCCATGTTTGTAGCGTAAAACTTTCTTTAGACAAATTTATATTTGGAATTTGAACATATCGTTGTGAATTCGGACTTAAAACTATTGACTGACTTATATAAGCTACTGTTGAATAAGAGGGTATAGACGTACCAAATCCCGTTCCTGTATAATATCCACTCTGATCATTCGTGTTTCCATCAAAAGGATAGAGAGCAGTAACTATCGATGAACGATATGCAGTTTCTTGCCCAATACATGTTGAAGACGAACAGCTCGAAACAGTTGTATTAGATGAAGCTAAAGTAAAATTTAGAGAAAAAAAAAATCTTCAACGATTTTAATAATTCATTTACATTCAGAATTAGTTTGATTTATAGCTCAGATTTGAACAATCCGACATCCATTTAATTTTGATGATCCGACCATAAGTGACTCATGTGACTCAATATTAATTCAACAAAAGAACCGCTGCATGGAATAGAAAATACATAGTCAACAATTAGTTTCAAACTTGGTACTATATTTGGTTTAATATATAAAGAATAATATGAACGTAGTTGATCAGATTGAACACATTCATATTCTCTTTCACCATGATTCAACAATTTTTCTAAAATGTAACTATTTATATTTTTTTTTTATATGTACAGATATATTTATATTTTTTTATATATACAGATATTTTTCCTGAAATTTTTCGAATTCAGGCAAATGAATTCCGATTTGTAAGATTTTGATCTGACAACCCTGTTTCTATTGTTTCTTCGAAATCTGATATTTGATATTATCTCCTTTAGTTAGCGACAATACATATAGATATAATTTCTTTTGCATATACTTGTTTGATTTTATTTCAGTGCCTTCATAAGGATCATGATAAATATTATTTTTTTCCGTATAATCCATTGCTTAACCTGATTTAAATGGAAAACACAGAGATTAATATTCTTCCTTTTTCACATATTTGTTTTATGTAACTCTGCACTCTCGTGTGTGTCGAAATTGATATACTTTTATTTTCAGATGATCTTTTATTAGGGGTGCACCAGTGCCAGTAACTGGGTCCCAGTCCGACTGGTTAAAACTTCGAGTTCTAGCAAAAATACTTATAAATTCTTGTTCTGTGTAAAGTAAGTATCATTCGATGTAAGGCCCAGTCGGACTGGGTACCCACCCAGTTCGACTGGGTCTAACATCGAATGATACTTACTTTACACAGAACAAGAATCCATAGGTATTTTTGCTAGAACTCGAAGTTTTACCCAGTCCGACTGGGGCCCAGTTCATCAGTCGGGACTGGGGACTGGTGCATCCCTATCTTTTATGAAGACTAACTGAAGTCATAAACATATAGGCTCATATTCTCTCTTGCATAAATATGCTTAATTTAATTCAGTATCCTGATAAGGATTGAGCTAGTTTTTTTTATATGTTCCTTTATTTTTTTTATCGCCTTAAAGTCGTACGCATGGACATTGATGTTCTGCCTTTCACAAAAATTTTACGTCTGAGTTTACTTCATTCCTAGAACTCGAGAATGATAACCCTTACTTCCCATACGATATTATATTTTATCTGTTTTAATGCATCAAAATAGATAGTGACATTCTCTATTTTATTCAAAGTTTTTTTTTCGAATTTCATTGCATGATTAATCTTTCCTCATATTATTGACTATTGTTTAAAAAGTTGTCGATAAGAATACCGATTTCATATTTAAAAATCGCCATGATTCTAAACTGGTTATTATACTATTATATACCATGATAATTGTTCTAACAGATATACTTGGACACGTTTGATATGGCCGACAATAATCTCAACAAGATACAATCATCAATAAACAGACTTAACCATTCAGTCGAGGGTCAAGTGAGTCGAAGCGACGAGCGTTACTTGTTTTATTTATATAACAAAAAAAAAAAGAAAACAAAGACACTATGTTAACTGACTGATTTAAGAATAATTTATCTTATTCTCTAGAATTGAATAAAACAATACATTCAAAGATAATAACCTATATATATATATCTTACTTTAAATTATCTTTCGTCAAACAAATGTTTTTTTTTTCTGAAAAGAATAGAAAGATATTGTTAGAGAAAAAAACAAGACCGTTGTTCTAGATCAGCTAAGGAAGCATAGATAGACGGACGTCATGATAAATAATTATATTTATAATAATATTCTCGTTTAGATTTTATAAAATAAAACGAGTAAGATAGAGAACTTATCTCATAGAATAATAATAAACTCTTCCGTTTCGAACTATTGATCAATATAAATTTAACTTGAAAATTTAACGAAAAATCCTTAAAAAATAACGGCAAAACCATCTTCATAAACATTGGAATTGAAACTCTCCAGGTCAAATTTTAGTTTGGATATGATCAGGATAAAACTTGTGTACAGTCAAACCTAAACGATAAATTAAATATTATTTTATTCTAACCCAATTATCTTCTTTTGAGGAGTTTATTTAGATCTTATAGAAATTAATTCTTAGATAGTTTTATTTAAATCGAGACCACTAGAAATGAAACCTACTCGGACTAGATCAAATCTTATTGGGATCTTCCCTCGATGTCGAGATCTCTCTCACTCTTTCCCTTCATTTCGTTGACACATCCATCTTATCGATGATTCTCAAATCACTTATAAAACGGGCACTATCTTATATAATAAACATTTTTCTTTTTATCTTTATATCAGTTGTTTTTCAACTTTTAATTATCTTTGCAATAGACGAGTTACCCTTCTTGTTTCTTTATGTTTTATATCCGATTTTGTAGCTCGTGAAATTCTCTATCGAATGGTTTCGAATAGTTGGAGTTTTATTTGACTATGATAAGAAAAGTTTTTTTAGGAAAGCACGGATAGATCAATTTTCTTCTAGGAAGGCATAGGAAACAAATGACTAGTTTTCCAATAATTGAGAAACGGCTCGGCCAATCCTTCTCATCTTCTTCTCTCAACCGAGATATTGTTAAGACAAAACTGTGTAGAAAAATTTCATCGCGATTGGACTCTCCTTTGAAAAGTTCTCGTATAAAGAGCCGTACGGATACACTGACCGATCGTAGAGTCTATAAACTTAAAATGATGAAAATGAAATAATTGATAAAGAAGTGAGAAAATGAAACGTTGAATATATTGAGAGAGAGCAAAAGATTGAGGTTAGTTTTTAAAATTCTAATAAGATTTGTTCGATTGTTGAAATTGAATATAATTGTTTAGTTAGTTGAATAAAATTCAAAGATTTAAATAGAATTATTAAATAAGAAAAAGAAAAAGAAAATCTTATAAATAAATAATTTATTTTAGTATCGGATATCTTGGATTAAATCTCAAATGCGTTATCACAATCGGATAAATCAAATGATCAGTTAGTATATTTTTAAAAAAATCTTTGTTATTATTTAATAAAAATAACTAAATCTAGATTAACAAATGAAAATGAATTAATTGATGAATATGATACAGATGAATGTGAAAAAGAATATAATCGTCCTCTTCCCGAATATAATTCTTAAATAGATTATCTTAATTCTCTTTCACAAAAATATTCTTTACTTCAACAACAATTTAATCAAGAACAAGTTTCCCTTTTTTTTTTCAAATTAATTTATTGAAATAAATATAAAAAAAACACGATAATTGTTATTTTAGATAAGTGGAAAAGCATGAAAAATAGTTGGAGAATTTATAAAATGTGAAAATAATGATGGATATTTACATAAACGATAACGTCTTTTATAATTACATATTTAATTAAATAATATAGAAAACAATATATTTGAAAAAACTTCTCCTTATTCAAATCATTTCGATATATCTGAAGATGATGAACATTAATATAAGAGATTTTTCTTTTTTTTTGTTTTAGAATATTTATTTCAGATGAGTTGATCATCGATTCTATTAAATAATCTTCGTCAATAAATGAAATGAAAAAAATATTTCGATGAAATAATTCATGGTTATATTCTTCCAACAACTGATCCACATAGAGTTTTATTTTTATTATTATTTGTTTCATTAAATATCTATTAGAATGAATATGTTACTGATTGTTATAAACGACGAGAATTTATTTCGAATTTTACTGGATAAAATGGTTTATTATTTTCATTTATTTTAAATAAAAAAAAAAAGTAAATTATTATTTATTTCGAATAGGTAGAGGTTTAATAAGAGAAAATGAACCTCTTTTATCGACTGATCGAAGATATTTTCCTCAAGGTGAATATCAATTATATCCAACATCTTAGAAATAAATGCCTCATGGAACAAAAGATCTTCTTTCAATGACAAATTGGATTGCAAGAGTTTGTTTTTTTTTTAAATTTAAAAAAAAAGATATTTGTTTTTGTTAAAGAATTTAGAAAAAACTTCATTTGTTGTATGTGATCCTCAACTTGTATCAATAAGTGAATGGAAAGAATCGAAATAAACAGTTGAACAATCAGAGAAACAACTTCTACCTATAGATATTTATTTAATTTGTTTTTTTTATGGGATAAACAAAGACCAGAATTACCAGATCAACCTATTTGGAAACATTATATTCAATATTATGGTTAGAATTTTATTTTCATAAAATAACAAAAAAAAGAAAATATTCTCTTTTAAATATCTATAAAAAACAAAGGTACTTCAATTGGTGAAAAACTGTGAAAAGTTCGATAAAAAATGAGTCAATATCAAGTTGATCATTTAATAGTACACAGAAGAGATGATGTTGCTTGGAAGTATTTCTTGCTTTTTTTCTTATTTATTAAATAAAATTTGTTTTAAAAAGGGTTATTCAATGTTGTGTGGTGGAGATATTCCATATAATCCGCTTTTTCTATCATATCCGACTATTTCAAATGATTATGTTAAGTTAGTTAATGTAGAATATTTTTTTAAATTTTATTTTATTTAACTAAGATTATTTGTTGATTTAAATAAATAATCAGATTCAATAAAAAAAGATCTTCAATATGATAATGTTAACATTTATTCATATCATTTATTTAATCGACAATTAAAAAACGATCTTCAACATAAAGATCCATCAGATAAATTTTGTGTTATTTTATATTTATTTAGGCATCACCATCATGTTATTATGGTGTAGAAAGAATAATAGCTAAACTATAGAAATAAACTAGTTTGCTTTTTTCTCGTTATTATTTTGTTTGTTTAAGAAAGAATTATTTATAGAACGATGATTATTGTTTATCAATTAAAATCTGTTTAAAATCAATGTGAAATTGAAGGAATGAAACAAGCTGATGTTAGTTAGATTTCAATTAGTCTTAGAAGTTTGGAGAGATTTATTTTATAAAAACAATATTTTTTATTAAATATCTATTATAAAAGAATAATTATATTAAATATTAAATCTCTAGAATATAACAATTATTTAAAACGATTAGGATTTATTTGAATAATAGTAAGACTACTATAGATATTTAAATAAATAAGATTTTCGAATAATATTTAATTATATTTTATTTTGAAATAATTTAAATAAAATAATATTTATTAGAATTGTTAATATTATGTTTAGAATATACTATTTAATTAAATAATTAAAATAAGGTTCGAATATTTATTTCTATCGAATAAGTTAACACTATTTATATATATTTAAATAAATATTATCGATTATTCTATAGACGATTTTAAATATTCGAAAAAAAATCTTTATTTATTATATTGACTAATCATAGAAATAATAAATAATATTATGAAAATAAATATCATTTACCATTTGTTTTTATAATAAACATATTTATTTTAAAATGTTGACTGATTTTCTTTTTTTTATAGAATTTTATCTTTAGATATTTGTTTTATCTAAGATAAAACAAAATGATTTTAAATAAATTTTAAATAAATAAATAAAAATTGTTTTT